TGAGTTTGTGGCTTCCAAAGCACAGCTGTCCAGTGGCTTTTGAAGAATTGCACTTGGAGTAATTCAAGTTTCTGTAGTTCAAATACATCTACCCTGCTTTTCCTGATGCTCCTGCATGTACCAGCATAACTCAGAAAAACTGACCACAGTGTAACAGTGTAAAAGTTAAACTTTTCCTCTGGAAAATGTAACCAGAGGTCAGCAGCTTCTTTGCAGCTGGGAACCAGAAAACAGCCTATTTGAAGGTAACATAAATTAAAAAGAGAAGTGAAACTTCTCAGAATATCTCAAAATGCAGCACGGATTTGGGTAAGGCTGCAATGGACACTTTAATCCGACGTGTTCATCGAGGAGGTACTTCCATCAGTCCTACTCGCTCCACTGCCTCTGCTGACATTGAGCAGGAAAGTTGCTTCATCTCGTCGTTTCTCTCCATATGGAAAACCGAGCCACTCTTATTGCCTTCTAGGCAAGACTGGTTTTGCAGATCCATGCGAGTTAATGTTTGCATGGGTCTGAGAAGATGCCAAGTGCCACAAGGGCTTATCCTACCACCTAGAAATCCCACCCGCCTCCAGGAAGCAAATATTTCCTCCCAAGGGCATTTGCTGCCGTTTAATACTACTAGTTCTGCTGGGTAGGAAATCCCAGAGGACAAGTGTCATTTTAAGGCAAGACATCTGTACATCTACATACTTCTGAACCGCAGATTAATCTAATGCACCAGCTCATTATCAACTGGGCTACAGGTGTTTCCAGGACAAGCGACTTGGCAAGATGCTCAGTTCTGAGTGATGATTTAAACAGCCTTTTACATTTCAAATACATTTCACAGCAGGGGTATGGACGCTCCTAACTGTTTCTTGGATGGAAATTAATGTCTGTCCCTACGGCCGCTCAGCCGCCCTCTCCTGCTCCTTTCCAAAGGGGCTTACCTCCAGCACCCAAAACCATTTAGGGCTGTTTGCTCAGCGTTTGCTCATGTCTCAGCACTGATCCGAAAGCTGCTAAAGAGCTGGGTGCCGCCCAACTTTGGCTCTGGGGTGGGGTTTTTTTGCACGCAGGAGTCTGGATTCTCCATCCTCGCCAGGTATGACCCGCTCAGAGCACAGCACTGGAGACGCACATCATCCAATAGCCACCAGGCACAGTACCAAAGCCATCCTCCACCCCAGAGTATTTATTTAATAATGATAATATAATAAAAAGCTCATTACAAAACCTAGGAGTACTACAAATATTTCCAGTGTTTCTTTTAAAAACAAAATTGTTCTGCTGCCGGATTTATAATCCAACCACTGCTGTGTTGGATTTAGCGTACAAGAACTTAACAGCAAAACTGATTTTTTTTTGAAGCTTTCTACTTTGTGCGGCTTCTGGAAAAATCGGAGCTATACAGTCACGTTAGTGAGAATCCAAGCGAAATCTGTAACAAAAGTAAGGCAATTTTGTGTTTTGAAACAAAGGGACTTCAAGCTGAAAATGTCCACTTACATGCCAGTAGATGGCAAAAATATCCCGTATTTGTCTTCGTTACCTAAAATGATTAGTACAAAAGGCTTAATGTGTCATTCTCTCCCTTGCTTCTCATAGAAACTTGCAGAAAGTGTAAATTAAAGTGCAACTGTACAAAAAAACCTAGCAAAAAACCTCGATGGGTCATAAGAAGCTATCAAAAAGATGGATTAAATTTTTTTTAAAGTTGAATGACCGCATAACTGGGACCAGCAACGTTGCTCAAGTTCTCCTTCGCTTTGTTTCTTAAAACAAAACAAAAAAAACCCAAGGAAAAAAAAAACACCCAGGATTTTTTTGGCAGTTTTCATAAAGTATTTGTTCCTTGACTGATTAGACTATTACGTTCCTTCACAATCAAGTAAATAGATTAAATACCGGAGCAAAGCCAAGCAGATGCCAACGCTGCCCATTAGATTAAGCCTATGTAATAAAAAAAAATAATTCTTTTAAACAAAGAAATCACACACGCATTAGAGTTTGCCCTTGAATAACAAGAATTTAACCTTAAAAATTCCCGTAGTTTGTTTTAAAAAATAAAATCCTATCCTTCAGATAGCCCGTAGTAAAGAAACAGTACAACTCTGAATTCAGATATCCCTGCCTTATCAGCGGAGTGGTGAAGGTCACAGTCCGGTGAGCAGCAGCAGGACGGGAGAGCCCTTCGGCATGAAAAGTGAGTCTCTGGTGGCGCGAAGCTGCGAGTGGGCAAGGCAGGGAAGGCAGATTTGGCAGCGATTTTAGGGTGCTGACAACGGGCAAAGGTTTCCTATAGGAAAGGTGAGAGGTAAATGCTTCAGAGCCACGCGATGCTGCTGGCTCTCACCCGGCAGTGATGTTCCCCGCCCTTGGGTGAAGTGTGGGCGAAGCGCTGGGTTTTTGGGTGGCTCATCGGCATCCTGCCCTCCGTCGGTGGCTCATCCAAATCCTGCTTGGGATTCGGCCCCTGGAGCTGGCGGTGAGGCAGGGGAGGGTGAGCGGGTTGGAGGGGGGTGACAATTAAGGGCTGCAAAAAAGGCAAGCAGCCTTCATCTTTGAATGTGGTGAGCAGGTCAGTGCCGTCCAGAGCTCTCAGGAGGACAAAATAAAGCATCTTATGGGACACTGCTCTGCAAAGACTTGACATGTGGAGGCTTTCCCACGGCACATTTGCAACAGGACCTTTGCACATCCCACCTTCCCTCCCCATCTTTAGCAGGTGAAAAAAAACAGAGGGGAGGGATGGCATATTGCACTAGTGCAGAAGCATCTAAGCAACTGCTAGTTTTAGGAGGAAAGTGTTACCAGAGGCCGGCAGCCCTGCCGGGACCCGGGTGTGAACGCCACAGAGCTACTTCATTACCCCTCCGCTCCATTTCGTGTAGCTCCTGGTTGACCCCTCTGACCTACCTCAGCCCATCCTGCCCCTGCTCTGCACAGCAAAGGGGATACAACATCAACCTCACTGCGCACTACCTACATCACAGAAAGCTTGGCCATGGCTCTGTTAACTCAGGATGAACCAGGGGGGAGGTGTTTTCCAGAAACTCAGCGATACATTTGCTACCTTACAGCCATGCCAACATTTCCCATTCAGTTCACTAGGAAAAAAAGGGTATTGGATACATTTCACCACGGTATAACGAGTGAAATACAGTTATTCTTAATTTCCTCAGTGCCTTGTTAGAGGGGAGTATGTTTTGGGTCTGGAATTGCCTCTGTGTCGCAGGCTATGGAGCGGTGAGGGGTGAAGGAGGAGGAGGAGGAACGAAGCAGAAGAAACAAGGAACAGACAAGTCGGACCAGATCCTCACAGTGCAATACCGTCTGTGGAGGGACCAGTGCCTCAGTGCCGCCCGTCAGCGAGCCAGGGCCATGATCAGGCTAGCGCACATCTCGAAGAAGTCCATGGTGTGGCTCCCCAGGCGCGGCGTCACCGAGGGGATGCTGCCGACGAAGGAGCCGCTCAGAGAGCCCATCAGCGACTGGCACTCGGTGGCCGCGGCAGCATCGATGCTCAGCCTCGGCCGATGCAAGCCGGCGGCAGAGCAGGAGCGCTGCGGCGTGGACGAGCCAGACCTCTGTTCCATCACATCATCTTGAATATTAAAAAAAAAAAAAGAAAAAAGAAAAAGTGGCATTAGTTTGGCATCTGCAATGCATGTTTGGTACGGAACTAGTAACAGTAGTGGAGACAAATGGATCAAAAGGGCTTTTGCTGACTTGAAACAGCTGCATAAGCATTTTGAAATGCAAAGAATGATTTTTAAATTTTTTTTAAACTTCCAAACTTGTCGTTTTATGTGTTTTACATCTTGTGCTGCACCATTTCCCGCTTACCATCAATGCTTTTGAAGTCCAAGAGATAGCTGCGGTTATCAACCTGGTAGAGCTGCAGGCTCATTTTCACGTAATTGCCTGTTACCGGGTTCTTGCGGCGCACTCTGAGATGGTAGGAGTTCACCACCTGCAACGGGAAACTTGCTTTCAGGAGTAAGATTCAAGGTAGCAAGACGAACATTTCTTTCCTTATTTTTTTCTAAATACTAGCAAGACATCTTCTGAGAAAAACACAGTTTCTAGAAAGAACAATGCCTATAAAATTAAGCAAAAATGGCTTCATTTTAGTTTGCATTAGTGGGACTATACAAAACTTGTTAAGGAAAAGGGTTGGGGAGGAACAAAGTGGGGAATAGATGGAAAGGGGACAGTTTTGTGAAAACCAAGGCTGGTCAGTGTGCTTGTCTGAGCACTGCTCCTGACCACCAGTCTGTCCTATCTTCTTATTAAATCTTTTCTTAACTATTTTTCCGTGTAATCTGACTACCCCATGTACCTTGGGACTATACAAAACTTGTTAAGGAAAAGGGTTGGGGAGGAACAAAGTGGGGAATAGATGGAAAGGGGACAGTTTTGTGAAAACCAAGGCTGGTCAGTGTGCTTGTCTGAGCACTGCTCCTGACCACCAGTCTGTCCTATCTTCTTATTAAATCTTTTCTTAACTATTTTTCCGTGTAATCTGACTACCCCATGTACCTGAGTGCTGAGATGAGATGCCAGCAACTGGTGAGACTGGTGTGAGTGAATTTGGGGTCAGCAACTGCAGTGACCGGGGGAGTCTAGGGGCTCTGGGACTGTGATGCCAGCAAGTGGAGCAAGTGGGGTCTCAGCATCAGTAGCTGGAGTGGCCATAACTCTCTGGATCATCTGGAAATAGGCTTCATATCCTATTTCCTCCTATCTTTAAAAATGCTTCTTAGGGCTCCGATTCACCAGCTGCTGGCAGACGAAGCTGCCGTGACCCATCTGCCAGGCACCAAACTGATGTTTGCTCCTCCCTCACCAGCAGCAATGGCCATAGGAGCCAAAAGGTCCACTCGTGGACCCGCAGACGAGGACCATGCCCGTGAAACCAGGGCAGGCTGGGCAGCTGGGGAGAGTAACTTCTTCCATTGGCGCAGCTAAATTCAGTGTTCATGAATCAGCCTTGAGCTGTGTATTTTCTCTGGCGGCGGCAGCATCGATGCTCAGCCTCGGCCGATGCAAGCCGGCGGCAGAGCAGGAGCGCTGCGGCGTGGACGAGCCAGACCTCTGTTCCATCACATCATCTTGAATATTAAAAAAAAAAAAAGAAAAAAGAAAAAGTGGCATTAGTTTGGCATCTGCAATGCATGTTTGGTACGGAACTAGTAACAGTAGTGGAGACAAATGGATCAAAAGGGCTTTTGCTGACTTGAAACAGCTGCATAAGCATTTTGAAATGCAAAGAATGATTTTTAAATTTTTTTTAAACTTCCAAACTTGTCGTTTTATGTGTTTTACATCTTGTGCTGCACCATTTCCCGCTTACCATCAATGCTTTTGAAGTCCAAGAGATAGCTGCGGTTATCAACCTGGTAGAGCTGCAGGCTCATTTTCACGTAATTGCCTGTTACCGGGTTCTTGCGGCGCACTCTGAGATGGTAGGAGTTCACCACCTGCAACGGGAAACTTGCTTTCAGGAGTAAGATTCAAGGTAGCAAGACGAACATTTCTTTCCTTATTTTTTTCTAAATACTAGCAAGACATCTTCTGAGAAAAACACAGTTTCTAGAAAGAACAATGCCTATAAAATTAAGCAAAAATGGCTTCATTTTAGTTTGCATTAGTGGGACTATACAAAACTTGTTAAGGAAAAGGGTTGGGGAGGAACAAAGTGGGGAATAGATGGAAAGGGGACAGTTTTGTGAAAACCAAGGCTGGTCAGTGTGCTTGTCTGAGCACTGCTCCTGACCACCAGTCTGTCCTATCTTCTTATTAAATCTTTTCTTAACTGTTTTTCCGTGTAATCTATCCCATGTACCCGAGTGCTGTAAAGATGAGATGCCAGCAACTGGTGAGACTGGTGTGAGTGAATTTGGGGTCAGCAACTGCAGTCAGACCGGGGGTCTAGGGGCTCTGGGACTGTGATGCCAGCAAGTGGAGCAAGTGGGGTCTCAGCATCAGTAGCTGGAGTGGCCATAACTCTCTGGATCATCTGGAAATAGGCTTCATATCCTATTTCCTCCTATCTTTAAAAATGCTTCTTAGGGCTCCGATTCACCAGCTGCTGGCAGACGAAGCTGCCGTGACCCATCTGCCAGGCACCAAACTGATGTTTGCTCCTCCCTCACCAGCAGCAATGGCCATAGGAGCCAAAAGGTCCACTCGTGGACCCGCAGACGAGGACCATGCCCGTGAAACCAGGGCAGGCTGGGCAGCTGGGGAGAGTAACTTCTTCCATTGGCGCAGCTAAATTCAGTGTTCATGAATCAGCCTTGAGCTGTGTATTTTCTCTTGCTGCTTCCCACCCCACAATCTGCTGCATCTCATTTGCAATGAGATCTTTTCTCTGTGCTATATTTACGAAGCAATTGCATGGATGGGAAAGCTATTTTGATGAAGAGTCACATCTGAAGTTATTCTTAGGGTGGGAAAGACTATTGTGAAACCTCCTCGCACAAAATAAGCTCCACTGCCTACATGAAGACGTTGGGCTGACTTGGTTTGTGAAGCTGTACCAGAAATACATCAGATTTGTTCGCTCTCTTTAAAACCATGCAGCTAACAAATGTCTGGCTGGTGTAGGCATATGCATCTGGAGACGGTCAACCTCCTGGCTGGTGCAGTGAAATCAGGTTTCTGGGCGCTACTTGGCTTTAAATACGCAATATTATCAAAAATAAGGAGGATAGGAGGCTTTGAAGAAGTCGCACAGTGATGTTCACACTGTACAACCCTTGGGACCTGGAGTGAGGAGGGTATCTCCTCTGGTGATGAAGATCTGGGCTGAAATTCTCCTTACCTTGCTCTCGATGCTCGCACGAGGCTGCTGCGAAAGGCCATGAGTCAGGAGAGCTCACGTCAGCGACTGCACCGAGATTTAGGGAATCAGGCTCAACAGAAAATATTAAGGGCTAACTTAGGGATTTATTAATCGGACTTTGAAAAAGATTGTGACTAAATGCTGTGTAGCGCTGAAGGAAGTATCTGAAGTGAATACCATCAACTAAAATGTCATCTGGGTTTAAATCAAGCTTCAAGAAGCTGAGCCCTAAACCAGGGAAGCAGTAAGTGTCTGAAAGCACACCTGGTCCACAAGCACCGCTCCATCTCCATCGAGGAAAATGCCACCACATCAATGGTACAAACTCCTGCCCGCAACGGCCCCCTGCCCCTCATCTGTGCATCTTTTAAGAAGATGCATATCGTGCCATTTCAGCACACACGACTGCCAGGACCCAAGCAGAAATAATGAGAGTTACTTTGCTCAGGAGCACTCGCGATGACCTCGCAAGGAATTAGTCACTAAAATTAGAAATATGACCAGCTCCTTTCATCCTCGCAGTTAAACGAGGCAGAATCATCTTTCCAGTCAGAGGCTTAGAGCATTCAGAAAGAAAACTCTTATTTCATGCCATAAATAAACACCACAGATATTGAACCACAGCTAGCATCTTAATTCAGCGTGTTTGTATTAATGAGAAATAACAGGGATGATCGCAAGGTGTGGGCATTTATTTGGAAACCGGTGAGGCTGTAACCATACTTATTAATCTCCCTGAGCAATTCAGCTCATGAGAAAAAGACCCTTGAAAACCACCACGAAGCACCAGCACTCCCTACCTTCCACTCGAAGTCCAGCTGTTTCATAGCACGGTACACCTCGGCCATAATGTCATAGGGTTTGCTCTGGCTGCGGATTCCCAAGTGCCACTTGGCCTTTTTCACAGTCAGGGGTTTTGGCTTCGTGGTGTTGAGGGCATCCAAAGGACATCGCGCTTTGGGGCTGTCCGCTATCAACGGTGGCATCCGCTCGGGGTGCGGCTTCACCCCGGGAGGGATGTGCATGGCACTGTCATCCATGAAGGAGCCGGTGGGGGGGCTGGAGGCAAGGTAGAACTCGCTGGCTTGGTTCATGATCCTCCGGTTGTCGATGACAAGGTGGTAAGCCACCGCCAGCTGGTCCTGAGGGTCACCGCTGTACAGGCTGTTCATCACCTCCGACTCCATGCATTCAAACTTTTCACAAACTTCGCGAACGGCATCATCATCGATGACGGTGGCGTCATAGGAAGGGTCCTCTGGGAACAGGTAACTGGGCAGCTCCTCCTTAAACCACTCATGCTCCCTGGGGAAAGGCAGAGAGGAGCCACCATGAGCTCTGTGCAAGGCAAGCTGGGGCAACCATTGTCACCAGTCCCTCGCTTGGTCTAGCTAAGACTAATCCTCAGCTGCAGACTGGGGAGCTCAACACAGCCCTGCACGGTCCCCCCAGTACTGCAACAGCAATGACACTTTGCAAGCATGGCTGCTTGCTCACTTGACTTTGACGTAAGACCTCAGCACTTACGAGATCCTCATGTTTTTTGATTACTATGGGTCTGAGAGAGATACAGAGCATCAAAGCTATCCAGGTACCTGATTCCCACTGATTTACAATGAAGTCAATGATAATTAACTGGCAAATGCCACAGAGAGGCTTGTCTATAGGTTCTACGTATCAGCTGTAAGCTTGCCACATGTGCTGCTGCTCTAACATGTAATTAAATCCTCTAGTCTTAAGGACTTAAGAAATAAAAAAGGCCTTTTACTTGGTTTTACTTGAAGGGTAAAATTAAGGCCATCCATCGCAAATGCATTAAAAACCTGAGAACTCCTGAAAGTCCCAGTAACATTTATTTACATATATGCTTAGCACACCAGCTAGATGTAATGATTACTATAAATTTCATAATATGCGTGTCGGGCTCCAGTTTTACAAAACTTTTCTAAAATGACTCAGATTGTGAGAATTTTGAAGTCCTACTACCAGCCATGAACTTTTAATGATCTCTGAAGGCACAAATATCTGCTTAAGAGCCCAATTATTCCCTTTACCTTGAATTTCCTCAGTGATGCATGCAGATAAAAGGTTCATGGGCACTGCGCTCATTGACTAGACAAGAAAACTACGCTGCATTTAAAGATGAACCATTTGCTCACATTTTAAACTATATGCAATATTTAAGGATTAAGTTAGTAATTCTTGTGTTTCTCCTCCTTTTTTATTGGAGAGACACTAAGTACAATGATTACCCTCTTATTCTGAACTGGTACCCAGAGGGAGGTGGTCTTGAAAGAATGAAAAATGGCTGGTGGATATTGAGTACTTTGGATTATTGCATGATATAGCTGGTTTTGCTAAGCACTATTAAGAGATTTTTGAGGCTATTTTATAATGCAGTAAAATGGCATTTTTTGTATATATACATAATATATGTAAAATCATCACCCTGTTCATCATCACCCACTGCCAGCCAGCAGCACCCACCTCTCCATCAGCACACAAGGGTGCAGGAGTGCTCCTTGAATCACTTAGGACAAAAAACAGCTGGGTTAGCTGACTACTCCGGTAAACCACCCTGCCCACCTGCCAGCGGGTGACCCCCAGGACAGCCACCATCCTCTGCCACTGGTGTGCCGGAGCCCTCTGAACACAGCCAGCCCACCCCATCCCACCTGGGCTGACCTGATGTCCTTGATGGTTGCTCGCTTGAGGGGGTCAACCTGCAGCATGTGCATGAGGAGAGTGGCAACGGACCGGTTGAGGTATTCAGGGATGTAAAACACACCTCCCCGGATCTTCTTGAAGAGGGTGGGGACGTGCTCATCATCGAAAGGCAGAGTGCCGCAGAGAAGGGCGTAGAGGATAACGCCGCAGCTCCAGATGTCCACCTCTGGGCCTGCGTACAGCCTGCACGAAGGCAAGGGCAGGAAAAAGGTGTCATCCCCCCATCCTCCTCTCCTTAGTTAGGGTGCAGGTCCCACTGGGGACCCACTGCCAGGTCCACTGGGGCCAGAGCTGCAGCCCACCCCAGGGCTGCTCACGTGGATGCCCCCAACCAAACCTGCCTAAGCCAAAATCACTCAGGGGCGAGGGGAAATGATATGGCAGAGCTGGCACTGGCTGCCCACACTCCTCTGGACGGCTGTGTACATCCCCGCCTCTGCCAGACCCTCCAAAAAGCCAAACCCCACATTTCCAAGAGTTCTGCCAGGCTGTTTGCTCCTTTGTCCCAAGGGCTCAGCCAGCAATTTCTGTTCATTCAGCGAGGCAGATTAAACAGCAGCAGATACTGTATCTCTGAGTGTTTATTTTCAGGTGAAGTTTGTGTGCTGGTATGCAAGCGCTCCCGCTTCTGACAAGCTGCTAATGTGCTTCCTGGCATCACCAAGTTGGGACACCTCAAATATATGAATTTTGCTGCTGCTTGCTTGCTCGATTTGTTTATCTCTTTTTGCTACAACCGATGCTTTCTCAGAGATTTTGGGAGGCAGTGCCTACCCTTGGGCTGTAAAATCCTACCAAAATACAAAGGTTGAAATGGAAATACAGAACTCTCTTCATGAAACCTCATCATCCTGCACTTGCTCCTCCTGAAAAGCACTGCCGCAGACACACCAGTGTACTAAAAGCACTGGTCATGCATGCAGTCATTCTCTGAACATCACCAAAACACCAGCTCTGCTTGTCCAAGGGTGAGACTTTCCCTGCTGAGGCCAGGGACAGCAGCAAAGTCATTTTGGAAATGGAGACAATTAACTAGATGCCCCCTTGGTCCTGCCGCCATGCCCGATTCCGACAGATAGGAAGCCTGATTCTTTTGCTGATAACCACATTGCTTGAACAGCTGATTGGACTTTTAAGCCCAAATGAGATGCACTTTTATGTCTCTGAAGCCTGAGGTGTCACGCTTTCCTGCTTTTGTGCTCTACCCAGCAAAGGCAGCAGGAGCCGGGAACCAGCTCACCCCTGCCCTGCACACTCACCGGCAAGGCATTCATCCTGCTGCAGGAACAGCAGATCATGCCTCTCCCCCACAAATGCAGCTCTCATACGATGTTATAGCTTTGAGAAGAGGGCAGCTTGACATATAATTCAGGGGTATAAAAATCAAGGATCACTGATACTGTAAGCAGTACCGATGCGGGAGGGCTGCAGCAGTAGCCAGTGAAAAAGTGCAATGTGTAGGTTTGGTTTTGCTTTTCTTTCTTACTTTTGTCGTTAATAAGCTGTATTGCCTGTATCCTTGGAACGATCAGGCTCTGCATACAGGGACTAAATCCTTCTTGTTAATCTGCCATGCGCCCTGTCTCCTATACGAACTGAAAATAATGTGCTGCTGGCCTTTACCGAAAAGGGCATGGAAATAGTATTTTTTTGGAATCACGGTAGAGTTTCTGGCTTTGTCCCCCTCTTGACAATGAGGATTTACTTGTTTTCGCACGTAGAGCTGTAGTCACAACAGGGTTTTTGGATGCTGGTCTAATTCCTAGGATACTCTGCCAACACTTGCACTGGTGTAAACAGGGATAAAATAATCATAACCACAGTAAACACACTTTGAACAAAACGTTGTATTTAAAAGCTACAGTTACAGGCAAAAATACGCTGGATTAGGAAAACTAATGCTCATGCAAAGGGCGATTCAAAAATATGGGGCAGATAATGAGATGGGCAGTTTGAAGGACCATACAGAGGACTGAGAACTTGAAAATTTGTATTTGCAATCCTTGCTATGCTATTATAGAGAGAGTTAGGGAAATAAGTACATTCTATGTAACTTAGGTTCCTGACAGTAAAACATAGGAGCTAACACTTCTGTATCAACACGCTAAAGTCCAATTCAACCTTGCAGAGTGCGTTCGACATGCCATGTGTTGTACAGATGTTGCACGCTGAGAGATGCAACCACACTGGAGGTCTGTCAATTCAATTCATCAATTCAAAACAAAGTTATGATGGTTGAACCTACTGTCACGAACAAAACCCCTAGCTTAAGGAACCAGAAGACAAGTATTTTCAATACTAGAGTTCAACAGTGTAGGGAAGTGATTAAAGATCTTCCCGATTCTTCTGTAGTGAATGGTTTTCCTCATTAATGCTGTGTTTTATATTATAGGTGGGCAGGAGAGAAGGGCGTGGCCTGGAAAGCCTTTCTATCTGAAACCTCAGTATTTGCATCCAAAGAGTAATTTTCACCCTCTTTAATTAGCAATATAAACAGTCAACATCTGCTATTAATAATTCCTCCAAAGTAAACATCTTTAGCAAAACATGGTTTGCTATTACAGCTACTGAGAAATGTAATAACCAAGAAAACTTTCAGATTTTTGCCAATAGATTCACCCAAACATAAAATACAGGCTGGAAGGATTCAGCTGCTTTTACTAGATGTGCAAAGCTGTTTCCAATCCCAAGAACAAATTTAAAACCCATGTGCTCACATTGGCTCTGATTAGAAGTGGAACATCCTACCTTCCAGAGATGACTTCGGGGGCTGCATAATTTGGGGAACCACAGCTGGTGCGTAGAAATTCGCCATCTGACATCATGTTGGACAAGCCTAAAAACAAGATGTTTACTACATATTGATGTTTAATGTGAAGGTCCAGCCATAGAGGACTCCGTGTCGCACAGAAGAGGACAGGTATAGCAAGTGGAGGCAGCAATTTGCAGGGGAACTGTTGACATAATTTAGATAGACTCCTTTGAGCTGATTTGCAAAAAATAATAATTATTATTATTGTTATTATTGTTATTTTCACATCCAACCAAGGAATATTCACTCCAGGCTTATTTTGCTTCTCTAAGTTGCAAAGCACAGAGCACAGAGGAAAAGAGACATAATTCATCTCAGAGCACTTACTTTATATGGGAATTGTGTGGGGCTGTGAAATTAGTAAATCTTCAAAAGGATTTATCACTGCTAGAAAGGACTCACCGGGACTGAGCTGGTAGCCCAGCTATTTCAATGGATTTCAATCGGTAATGCCACTGAAAGACTCCTGTTACTGCTCGTTTGTAAAATGAAGTGAGGCCAAGAGCACATGGCCAAACGTACGGAGAACATGCATGAAAATAAACACACGCAGCCAGCTCACCCTGGAATTAACTGCACCGAGTCTGTCTTAAACATAAATTAGCTAAATCTTTATATTAGGTGATTATACTAAAACATAGTGAAGATTTGCAAATTACTTCGCTGCTCCATTCTTAATGCCAGTACAGAAGCAGCCTACAATAAGTAATCCCTGCTTTTGCAAAAAGGCCAGTGTTTATAACTGTGGGCTTTTCAGGTAAAGCAACTGCTAGTGGTTAGGAAAACAGGCTCTGGGTTTTGTAAGGCGTGCTACACAGACACGCTCTAGCAAGCACCTCGGAGCTGGCTGCATTTCTGGAATGCTGCTGGGGTCACATACCAAAATCGGCTATCTTTGCATTCATGTGTGCATCCAACAGCACGTTCTCTGGTTTCAGGTCTCGGTGGACAACCATGTGTCTGTGGCAGTAATCCACCGCGGAGAGAATCTGCTGGAAAAGGCGTCGAGCTTCTGCCTCTTCAACCTATGGACGCAAGGGGAAATAGTCCTGAAGGTTGGTCTGCATGCAGAGCTGGCGAGGGAAGGTTTGACTTAGCAAGGAGCCAAAATGTTCCAGGGTGCAGAGAGAAAATCACAGCGTGCTTGTGACCAAAAGCAGCAAATAAAGCACTTTTCTCCCCTTGCATTTTATAATATGCTAGTGTTTGCAAATGATATAGCCCAGAGATGAAATCAGAAACCTAAATTTAGCTGAGCTATCAAGAAGAACTCATTGGTGGCACCTATGAGGCAATGGCCTGCTGTCCCAACGGGATGAGTTCTGCTATACAGCACATGCAGGTTGAGGCTGGACAAAACACCGCAGAGGATGCTGCAGGGAGCAATTCCTCATGGACAGATGGCTTTGGAAAAAAAAGCTAAAGGTGGAATATTGTGATGACTTTAATTAGCGGTATAGCTATATTAGCTATAAAGTTGTAGGAGCTATATTAGAGAAATTATATTTAAAATGATGAAGAGACTGATTATTTTTACTGATGACTTCCTAAAGAATCTCTTCATGAAAAATTTAGTTTCTGAATGCAAAAGTTCAGAAAGGATCCAAATTAGTCACTGAAAAGACCCAGATGGGTAAAATGTGCTGGAAATCAGAACTGTATGTAGAAAAGTAAATGGAGTCAGCTCCATCGACCAGTGCATTAATCTAAACCAATTTATTGTAAATGTATTGATTTTTGTAGTACAGAGAGGAAAAGTATGATGGGCTGATCCTTCACCTGAAAGCCTTATTCTGGATGTCCACTTCAGCCCATTTTTATCCCCTTGCCCTGCGATTGCTCCCTGCCTACAAGGATGTCCACGGGGCAGACACTAGTGATTTTCTTTGTAACCATAGTATCACATTTCACGGGCTCAACCTACGCCTCAGGTGATTTATACCCAGCAGGATTACTGGCATTTGAAAATGTTGTTCAGATAAGCCACATCCTTAAAAAGTCTTCAAAAAACCTGACGTGCAGCCAAGGGGGAGACGAATGACCCGGACGGAGAGCACACTGAGTGCTCTTCCCCTCCAGTGCCCCGCACACACGTAAATCTGCTGCTGAACTGTGGGGGTTTTGACAGGCAACCCATAGCTAAAAATTATAAAAATATGCTAGTTTTCCAAATATTTGCACTAAGCAACATGTTACCTTGGAAATTTTGGTTTGCGTATTGAAATACATCAGAGAACATTGCAAAAAATTGCATGCAACTTTTGTGCGAGCCGGGTACGAGACACTCCAGATGGGATTGCTGTGAAGCAACTTCTATTTTGGGCCTTAACCTTAACCACATTCCCTTTAGCAGTCGTTTTGCTTCTAAACACCATCCTCTTCCCACACAAGTGTTTGGGCTGACACGGTACTGGCACTTACACGTCCGTGCTTACAGATGTAATCAAACAATTCACCGCCAGATACGTATTCCATGACCATAAAGAAGTCCGTTGGCGTGCTGATGACCTGGTACCTTCAAAAACACAAACGGATTTCGAAAAAAAATAATTAAGAAGAAGAGGGAAAGGCTTTTAAACAGATTATTAGTTTCATGTCAACCCTTAAAATAAGCATTTGTTTGGATCTTGCATTTATAATTGCTTTCCACTTCTGAAAAGCTACCTCTTATTTCAAGAATAATCTTTCACTTGTCTATGAAAGGATCTCTTTAACAGACCTACGGTTTTTCTTCCAGCTTTTAAATAATCCTCTGAAATCTCTGCCAGACAATCCCATCACATTTAGGACTGTCCTGACTTTCAGATTCCCATTTTGGCTAAGATCTGCAACAACAGCTTTAGAAATGAAGGCTTTGTTAGCTGGGGGCAGGGAGGGGATATATTTGGTTTCCCTCACGTCAAGGATAAAGGAAATAAAGAAGAACTCTAGACACTAGAGGGAGCTTCTTTTGGAAAGGTATAGAAACAAAGATGAGCACCCCAAAAGATCACCGCTATTTTTCAAATATTAAATCCCTCTATATTCTAGAATGGAGGGGGGGGACAGTATCACCCTTGACTCACAAATTTATTCTCCATTTTCATTCAAAACAATCCCTGAGTGCTGCAAACGCATTTCACTGTCCCAGCTGGTACAAACTGCCAGTGATCAGCTGAGGTCAATGCAGCTACAGGAATTCATAGGAGCACCAGCTGAGACCCCCCTCTGTTTTATTTCAGATACACTGTTGTTTGCTTTTTTTTTTTACAGCTGAATTTCTGTGGGTTGTAATTTGAAACAAACAGATTTCAAACAATTTTCAGAGATCAGCAAGTGAACAGGTGATAGCCCCATAAAAATCAATAGGATCAACTTAATTTTTCTGAAGTGCTTTGGACCCAGACATCTGAATTATTGTTAATTGCCCCACTACTTCTTTTATATATATGTAAAAAGCTATGAAAGAGGAGCTTTATGTACCATGGTCGTCTCCTCACCTCTTTTCTTTATCATTGTATTTCATGATTGCAGTATGTACCATAGAACACTGATATTGTTAAACTGGGTTTAATTTTTAGGCTTTAATAGTTTGACAAATGTGTGAACAGGACTTAACTTGCAGGATGCTGGATGCACAGCTGAGGACTCTTGCTGGCTTTTTCGTGAAATAATACCAATTTGTACTCCAATAAATCCATGGAACTGTGAAGTTGCTCTAAAGTCAACAGTTGCTGCATGGTTAGTTATTTAGCTGTAGAGAGAATTTGTTTTCCCTTGCCTCTAAGTCCCAGGTATTTGCTATATCTCATGCCAGTTTTAAGGCTGACCTAAATGTCAACTTATCCTTGCAGTTACCATTCAACAGCTTTCTTTTATAGAAATGCCAAAGATTTTATCGAGTGCCTCATTAATGTGGGCTGGCTGCACAAACTGGGGATTGAGAAGGAATCCCAGAGGCTGGAGTGCAGGTGCTGATTTACAACTTAAATTCAGGTTCATCAGAGTGGCAACTGTGAAAACTTATGTCTGAATAATAAATTAAAAAAAAAATGTTCCTTTAAGCTCTGGATAATCAGGCCATTAAAACGTAAATCCTATTGACTTCAGGCCAAGGCTTCACTCTACGAGCCTGACCGTGCTGCAATTCCTCAGGCACAATTCTCAGCAGCTTCAAGTCCGGAGATATCAAGCCAAAAAGGGTCATCACAAAAACTCCTAATAGCATCCCAATGAATGGTCAGGAAAGCCCAGACCCTCTCTCCACACCCTTATAATGGCCTCTGCATGGAAGAGAGGACGGCTTGGACAGGTTTAGCTGAGCAAAACTTGATGCAGGGACATCGGTCTGTTGGCTGTTACGATAACCCAGACTCCCAGTGGAAGAAACATCTTCCATCATTTCACAAAGTGTTAACTGTGTCCCATGTAAGTTAGTGGGAGACTCTCAAAAAGCAGCGTTTGGCTCTAATGTGCAAAAACTTGACCACGCACCTAACATTTTCTACTACTCCAAGCCATCCCCTGAAACCCTTTCAACTGTGTATGTGAAGTCTTTGCAGACGGAGGAACAAACTGAACACATGGCAGAAACGGTACTTACAGTTTGATAATATGAGGGTGCCGGAAGAGTTTAAGGTTTTGAATTTCTCGTTTGATCTTCCCAACCACATCCAGGCTGCGTATTTTCTGTCTGTTGAGTATTTTTACTGCTACTTTGTGCCCCGTCAGCTGGTGTTCACCAACTATTAGAAAGAGAGCATTGCAAAGTCACTAAACAGTGCAGCAAGATTCATATAAACAATTTAGGACACTGTGATTTACAAGCAAAAAGCAACTCTTGAAGGGAAAAAAACAAAAGATGAGGGGTTGAAACATTTTAAACTTGTTTTTTGTCTCTTCACTTTATTGTTTTCCCAGTGGAGTCATGGAAGACAGAAGAGAGGGGACTTATCTGCAAAAAACACTCAAGTAAATAAAACAGAGTGAGTTACTGGAGGAGGTCATACCCAAAGCTAATTTGCAAGGATTTACAGCATGTAAAAGCTAGATCAATCAGAAACAGATATATTTAAATGGCAGAGGAGAATCTCCACTGGAACACACTGGTTGATTAAATCCCTAATAAACCCAGTCTTAAAACTAGACCATCACACTTCTTTTAAAAAAATTATATAGGGATTATCCCTGCCCAAAATAGGACTGTGGGATTTGCATTACTAAAACTAATTTCTATTTATACTTTCTCAAGCGTGCTTCTTGGTTTGATGACAAGCTGCAGGAACACTGATGTACTGCAAGAACAAATCTGGTTTTAGAAAAGATACAAATTTCAATATGGGTTTTTATAATATGCACTTGGTGCATTAAGATGATGATGTTTATCTCCTGTGTACAGGGACAAACAGTAACCACAAACTGGGAGTAGCACCACTGTCACTGGGGGAATTGCACTAACTTAACAATAATGTGAAATGAATTCAGCATTTGATCCATTTGTCATCAATAAACAGACTATACAAAAAATAAAAAGCTCCCAGGAAGCAAGATTTATATTGACGTTAACAGCAGAAACTGCTTGAAAACTGTCAATTGGATGTTTATATCTAAAAGGGTTCTCTGGCCATGAGCTACCCCTTCTCAGTATTTTCTAATGTGATATTAAAAATGGTGACATATGGATGGTTTTCTAAAGAATGCACAGAAAACGTGCTTACAGTAAATATTTGTGCTTTCTAATTATGAACATTACCCTTTCAGTAATAACATAGAGCGCAAGGAGTTAATAATTATGTGCAAAACTTGTTATTACATTATTAGACTCTGTAATTTTGGAGGCTTTAATGAGCTGATCAGAAGCAAACGGCATAAGCAGATGGCATGAGAAGGGCAGGGAGGCAGCGCCGGCACTGCTCGGGGCACGTGAGGTGACTATTATTAGCCACCAGATAAGACCTGCCAGAGATTCTTTCCTCAATAAGAGCATCCTAAAAATAAAACACTTTACTGCCCTTGAAAATTAAAGCACCACTTTGCATGTGTGTTTTATTCCTCGCAATACTTAAAACTACTAGATGAAATGTAAATAAACTAAGCTTTGCAGTATAGATGCAATTTAGGGATTAGCTGAGGGCTGGAGGAGGCAGATAATTCCTCTTCTGCAGTGCAAGGAGAGTGCCGTAAATAGTCCGAGGAGGCGTTTTCCCTGGTGCATCCCTGGGGAGAGGACAGCAGGGCAGCGTTGGGCCTGCCCCGTGCTGGGGAGGCGTTGCTGGAGCAAGACTGCAAAGCAGCACGCGTGCAAGGGGTGCAAAAGCATGGTCAAGCTTTACTGGGCCTTGCGAGGGGGCTGGGGTACAGCCTGTTCGGTCACTGCAAGAAATTCTCCCCAAGTTGTGCCAATTGTCTTATAAAGGGCACTGATCTCTCTTTGCCAAGGTTGTCATGGTATATGCATGGCATATGTTACACTGAGGAGGCTGAGGAAGGAGTGACAGAGTGGTGTGACACAACTTCAGCAGACGTCTTTGAGATCAAGTCTTTTACCAGCAGCATTTGATTTGGTCAACTATAGCACTGCGCTACCTCCGCTCTCTCTTTCCTGGGAGCACGAGAAGCTGTACTTTAAAAGCTGCCCTTGATTCATTCAGCTCCATTAAAGAATTATAATGCACTAAGCCATTAGTTGGGAAACTGAGGAACAGCAAAGCAAAGTGGTTTATCACCGAACTAGGAAGAAAATCCTGATTTCTGCCATCCTTTGTTTCAAGACAAACCCTTTCTGGCCTTACCCCTGTATATGCTTTGAAAAATTTTTATTATACATTGGGAAAAAAAAAATAGCCATGCCCAGAATGAATAATTATTGGTTTTAATACCATTGCCAAATAGTTCATCTCCTTTCCATCCATGACAAACAATGTGTAAATCTGCGAAGGTTTGCTAGCTCAAACACATTAATAATTAAAAATAAACAGTCTATTTTGTAATCCATCTTTTGCTTACAGTAAGCATTAGATACAGAGATATTACTGTTTCAGTCCCCAGTGGCTTGTTAAGCCTACTCGAACGCCTTGAGAGACAGAGAATATAATTTGCTATGTGGTGGGAGCCTTTCAAGCCTTTCAGGTCTCTCCAGCTGCAGCCTGTAGATGCAGGAATTTTAACACGGGGCAGTAAGGACAACCTTCCCTCTACTCACGGAGTCGCTGTCTCTGACCCCATGTGCTGGAGCACGTTGGTGGTATGATCCAGCCCCAGGATGAGGAGCAGTGGCAGGTCCCATGCCTCCCACAGGCATGGAAGGGGATGCTCGTGCAGCTCGTCTCTAATGGGTTTGTCCTCTCCTCGCCCCAGGGATGGGCAATGGTGGTCTCGGGTGGTGGTGAGGAAGCCTTCTCCTTCCCTCTCACTACCTCCTGGATTAAAAGCCCAGGGGGAGGAGGGAGGGATGAGTGGCAGTATTAGAAAGGTGATTTGAGCGTATGTCTTGTCTTTCAGTGACAAGTGCTCAGGTAAGCTCCACCGCAGCTTAAAACCAGCAACCAGGGCTCTGTTGGGGTGAGCAGGGGAGATGGATTCAACACTGAGACGACAAGCAGCACTGCACACTGTGCCACAAAAAAAACCCCCAGCCATAAGGGTCAGGTGGTAACGCTGACCCTAAACTCCACAAAATGGCACCAAACGGGACACGGTGTGAGTGTCCTTAGCTGCTACCCCATCTGCTTCCACGTGTGACTGCCTGGGCATGAGAACGCTTCAGCATCAGATGCTATTAAGGAAAGAAGGGAAGAGATATAATAGAATTAGTTTCTGAAAGAGGACTCTTCTAATTTAGTTATTTTTATAAGAGAAAAAATGAGGAGGAATAGTGTTTATCCTACCGTAAGCTGAGATAATCATTAAAATCCCTTGACAGCATGTTTTTTTACAGCATGGTTTTTTTACAGCAGGTACCAACGAAGCCTACCTCTGGGTGCATGTTTGATGCAGCTCAGGTAGCACAAGCAGTTAACATTTTTGCAAATGCTTCAGGGGAATGTAAAAGTTTAGGGAGGGATGAGAAAAATCCTTTCCTATCAGCTGTGCCGGCCCTTACCTTAGCCCAAAGTTAAAAATGAAATCCATCCAAAGCATATATTCAGCAGCACTGTATTAATTCTGCCCCAGTGCCACTTGCTTATATGTTATATCATCCTTTCTTTCCCTTTCCTTCATCTGTTCAGTCTCTTTTAGTTTATCATCTTCCCTCCAACACAAGGTTTGTCCTTCAGTGGCAATGGTACAGTGCCTGGGAAAATGGGATCTGACCCCGACTCAAGCCCATGGAGCTGCCATCATAACCAACATAAACATAACCCAAGCACTGACGGTCCTTGAGGGACCACAAATTGATCACCTTGGTGGCCAAAAAGCATTGGGTAAGAAACCACCAAGTGGCCACCAGGGACATCATGTGTGGCACCACATGGAAAAATATTTGTGTTACTCTGCAGAATTTTGACTTAAGCTCTCCAAGCTGCAACCACCATGAACCTCATTGTGCGAGGGCTGTGGTCGCGGGGAGAGATCTTCGGGGACCCGCAGGGTGGGATATGCCCAGGACAAACACAGCAGCAATTTGTCTAATCTGTTCTTACCAACCACCAGCGGAGGAGATGCCACCTCCTTCCTTCATTGCTTCACTAAACTCAAAATCCAGGATCATTTCCACAGTTCTATTTTCTGCAAATTTATCTTATCTTTGGCCTGGAGGACAGGGAAAATAACTATCACCAGCTCTCCCTGCATTTGGCAAAATCCTGTGTAATAATGTTGACCCTTGGCATGAGACCTCCTATCCATCCACTACATTCACATCCACCAGGTTAACTCCTGCCACCTTCCTCTCTTGTAAAAAAATGCTGCATTTTAATCACCATTTCCAGCTGGAATTTCAGTATTATCACCAAAATCCCGCTCTCATCTGCCAACCTATTTGCTCCCCTCCATGTCTTGTATGGTCTTTCTATAAACAAGATCAAGGAACTGAATGGGCTTAAAACTAACCATCTCCTGCAGTGTTTAGCTAGTTTTTAGGTGGATCAGTTCACCGATGACCCAGGCAGTGCTGAGACGGAACGAATATCCCAACAGGGCAGCAGGGACTTTTTCTGTCATATCTCTGGTTTCTGATGGCTCAAAGTGACTACTCACCTCCAGCCACAAATCCAAGCTCCAGTTAGTACCCCATCATCACTAAATCCTTCCCTTCCATTGCCATCTTTTTATTTCCTTAATAATTGTTATCCTTGAAGTTTGTAATTTATGATTTCTTTGAGGAGTAAGGCAGGAAAAAGCACCTCTTACAAAGTCTTGTACAAGGCAGAGTTTGAAGAAAACACATCAGCAACAAGAAATGTCACTGATGGCACCAGCCTTCTTAGTGAAAAAGCAGTTACTATATACAACATATGAACTAATCAGGCCAAAATCTCTTCACTTCTCTCATGTTTCTTGCTAAATAGGGTGAATACAGGCTTTTCTAAAGCTCATTTGATTAAAATACTGTAATTCTGTCTAAACAGGAGATCTAGTTTCTTCATCTCAGCTTCAAATCTCAAGTCCAAATTTCACCTGTCAGTTGTAGGCAAAATATTAATGAAAAAAATATATAAAGGGTACTACTTACCCATAAAGGATTTTGAGCTAGGAAATCTCTTTTATGTTATTTTAAATGTTTCTTTGGAAACTGTCAGTTTTTACCAAAGTCAGGTCATACGTGGGGTGGGGGGGGGTGTTTGTGGTAGCCACTCCTGAAAGGTAGTTAAGGAAAAAAGGCTATTGTTGGCAGGCTTAATTTGGTCCACAAGAAAAAAATTGCCTTTGGAGCACTTTTTGAGGTCTGCTGGTATATGTGAGTGATTTAAACGGTCCTTACTGTTAGAAGTATTTACTCCGATAATTCTTTAGTCAGTAAATTTGTGGTTTGGGATTAAACACAGCAATATATTTTTAGGGGCCTGATTAATGGTCACAGGTGGATTTAGCTCCAGTGGTCGCGGTGGTTTCTTTCCCCTGCTGTCAATTTTGGTTTATTTTAAAACTCCAGTCGCTGAGCGCGGGCACATCACCCCTTCGACCAGCCACAGCACTGTGGGTAACCTCCCGGCGGGGCAGGGGGACACCGAGTGGGGTGGCTGCTCCGCTGGCTGGAGCTAAACACATGTCCAACCAGGAATCACAGCTATCCATTTTGCTTAGACAATAAATTCTGTTGTGGTTTGTTTTTGCTTTGGTTTTTTTTTAATATCATGATTCAAAAATAAAATTTGCATGTAATGGCAGAATTCACAGGAAAAAGAAATAGAAATATTTGGAAATCTTAGAGTCAGGTAAAGCAAAGCCGGTGCCTTGAAAATGCGAGTTGACTACTCTGGCATGAATGACAAAGGAATCCCTGTGTATAGCCCAAGCCTGACCCGACCCCTCCATTCCTGCCTGCTGCAGGTCTCAGCTCCGCGGGAGCCGCTTCCCAGGCTGCCAGGAAGGCTGCTCTGCTCCCCAGGGTGATGTACAGAGGGGCAGCAGAAGAAATCCCTTTTGCTCCCGGTTCCTCATGCTACGAAGCACCTGCCATCCCTTTGGAAAGGAAGGGGCAACAGGGACCACGGCCTCGGCACAGAGGTGAAGGATGCCTGGTTTGCTGTCCAACCTTCCCATCATCTTCCTCCTAGTTCGGGAGGAAAGTTTTGGTGGGTCCTGCTCGGAGCACCGGCGCCGGGGGCTGCAGCAGGCAACGGCAGCACGCCGCCCTGCTACCGAAAGGCGAGGTCTGCATCTCCCACCAGCTGCCCGCGACCCCCCCTCATCCCTTCCCCCACACTCACACCCCGAGAAGGGGGCGC